GAACCCCGAGCCAAAAATCTCAAACACTTGGAAGGATTAAATCTTCAAAAACATTTAAAAAAACTAGAACAGTTTCCAATAAAAATTAATAGACCCTTTTGAAAAACCCACTCCCAGTAATATCACTTCTTTGGACAGTCACATAAATGTCAACACTTGTACCTTCAGTATCTAAACATTGAAAACAACTTTCAAAAGATCTATTCAATAAACAACCACACACTACTGCTTTCTTCTCTGTATTTCTGATCTGATAACACTATCACAAGTCAGTTGATTTTTCATGTTCCAAAGACAGTGTACCTATCTGTAAGGTTTAAAGTAATAATTCAGTTATCTAGATCTCTATTCCTAAAATTAAAGACAGATCACACAACCAGTATTCCAGCATAAGCAGATGGGAAAGATACATACTTTCACGCAGCTCCCTCAGAGCAGCAGCCACAGTAAGCACAAATACAGCTAGAACAGATCTTTGCAGGACCTCAGCTGTTCCTGGTACTGACTTTTGTAAAATGCAAAACAGTAAGATGGACAAGTAACTCTCTACATATTGTAAGGAAGCTGTATCTCAAGGAAACATAAAAGAAAATATTTGAGTGTTACCAGAATGTTTGACAATGAAATTTAAGCGATTTATTGGTCGAAGCTTAACCTTCAGTATCTGCTAAGCCAAGTATTCTAATAGACTAGTACCTACATACACCTGTCCTTCCCAAAGGGAGGTTTTGACTACTAAACCAAGTATCAGAAACCCAAAAGGTACAAGTGCAACACAATTCCAGTATAGTATTATTACCCCACTTTGTCACAGAAAACTCACCTCCAGTAGCACATTCCCAGACTGCCGAACGCGTACCTGGTGCTAAGGTAAGCCCAGACGCCTACTGTTTAGCCTTCTTTCAAGATGACTCTTACCAGCCAAGAGCGGCACTTTATCACCAACAGCAGCGTGCAACACAGAAGAGGCGTGATGAAGCTGGGAGCACTGCGGGTCCAAAGGCAGCACTACCTGTAGGCTACCTGGGTCAGTACGATCCAGTTTCATGTGCTGTTACTACCGGAACCCTAGCAGGGGCAAAGCTAAGGCAAATAGCATCACAGACTGCTTTGGGATGGAAGGGACCTTTAGAGGCCATCTAGCCCCCCCCCCCCCCGCAATGGGCAGGGACATCTACACCCAGATCAGGTTGCTCAGAGCCCCATCCAGCCTGGCCTCAAAGGTTTCCAAGGATGGGGCATCCACCACCTCTCTGGGCAACATCTTCCAGTGTTTCACCACCCTCATTGTAAAAAATTTCTTCCTTATGTCCAGTCTGAATCTACCCTCTTTTACTTTAAAACCATCACCCCTTGTCCTATCGCAACAGGCCCTGCTAAGAAGTCTGTCCTCATCTTTCTTGTAAGCCCCCTTTAAGTACTGAAAGGCCACAAGCTCCATTCTTCCTGCAGCCAGGGCGATGAGGAAAAGGCTTCTGCACACGCTTGTGTTTTGAGACTTAACTCCCGATTCCCGAGTACGCCATACGCCCTGTGCTTCTGCAGCTCTACCCAGGGGCAACAGAAGGGTCTGGGACTGTGCCAAGCACAGAAGCTAAAGTGATAAGACCAAGGAGAATTTTTCCTTCTGTGTCTGCCACCTCAAAGCCAAAAAAGTGAAGATAGTTCTTCCTGTATCCCGAAAAAATTAACAAATACTTAAAAAAAAAAAATTCTACTTTTTCAATGTGTTTACTTAATTAAAAGAAACCAGTCACACCATAACTTTTATTACTAAATCAACTTTGAAAAAGATTCATTGACATAGTTCTAGAATTTAAGTTTCCTCCCAAATTTTACATTAAAACTCAAATATTGTTTCATATTTAAAATGTTTGTCACAAAATAAAAAAAAAAAAAATGTGAAACACTGCATTGAATAAGGTCTGCCTACCCATAATTCACAGGAAAAGAAGTCTTCAAACTTTTTCTCCATAAATAGCCTTCATATCACAGGAAATAACATCACTGGAATGTTAACTGTGTTACAGTATTTCAAGTTTGTTACAATTAGTTAGGAAAAGGAAATTAACATGTAAAAGACAGTAATACAGTAAGAAGATGACATCTAAAACAGAGCAAAGTTTAAGAAAATGCTTCTGGAAATCTCAGTGAGAACACCTGCTACTTCTTGACACCTCCCCCCCCCCCCTTAAAAAAGGGCATTTAAAGTTATAGAGTAGATAGCAGTTTACTCAATCATCTACAGAAGGTAATCCTGCACCAACAGAGAAAAGGACCGAACCACGTGGGTGCTGTATCTAGCTTTTATCAACTGATTTATGCTCTCTGGAAGATATAGCCGTTTTCCCCTTGATTAAAAATAAAGTACAACTCTTTAAAGTGACAAAAATAATATAATACACTGTAAAAACAGACTAATACAGATGAACAATTCCAGAACGAAAACAAATTTCACTGAAAGTCCCAAAAGCTGTAATCGCAATTAATTATTCTAAATTAATAAGGCAGATTTGACATCAGTTACACTAATTTATGGCATTATAAATATTCTTCATCCTGTACAGTTCTTTAATATCAATACCTAGTGAGAACATACTATTGCACCAAAAGCTGAAAGTAACAGGTTCAATTTGTAAAGTGCTGAAACCCTTGCAAAGTTGTGCCGTACTGTAGTTCTGTATTCATCATGGTTCATCTATCTTGAATACATTAAGAGTTCAGCACGGCCACTTGATTGCAGGCTTCAAAGTAAAGACTGTATGAGGTAGAATAAACTCCTTCAGGTTCACCGTCACCCTATGGACCACTGAGCTGTGCAAATGGCTCTGTCACAGGAAAGGGCTCCAAAGCTTTCTCTGAGTTTTTCCAGTTGTGGAAGTTTTCTTTGTACCATTCAACTAGTATGAAGAGAATGTTGATGAGTCAAGTTGACCAGAGATAATGAGCAAATTCAAATATTCCACACATATCATAAGACTAACAACGTGCTAAGAATTCATTGTGCAAAATTTTAACCTTTATTATTAAAAAAATCTAGGTTAGATTTTATAAATTCTTTACGCAAAACTTATCCTACCATTAAAAAGTAATTCATTCTAGTACTTGATGCTACTTTGTGATTAAACTTTTTTTTTTAAAATCAGGTAAATTCACTACTTAAAAAGCAGACAATTTTATGTAAAATTTGAGTGTTAAATTCATTCTCTTTAACTTCTCAGTAAATAACCTCTACACCCATTTTCCCCTC